GTCAAATACATTAAACTCCCCACAATCTGCTTGTAAAGAGTGTTGTCGACCTTCGTTCCTCTATTATCTTTGTTTAGCTTTAAGCCAAACTCAGATGGTGTAGTCACAGGATTACAATCCTTCATTTGGAACCTGTCCAAGATTTCTCCCACGTACTTCTTTTGAGAAATAAAAATTCCCGTAGACGATTGCACTACTTCAATGCCAAGATAATAATGCATCATGCCAAGATCGGACATCTCAAATTCAACCATCATGGATTTCTTAAAACTTTCAAACATGGCTGTATTATTTCCAGTGTAGATTAAATCATCTACATATAAGCAAACAATAAGCATGTTCCCTCCTTCTTCACTTTTTATAAAAAAGTGTATGTTCATAAGGACATTTTTGAAATCCTTCCTTCAAAAAATAAGTCTCTATGCGATTATACCAAGCTCGTGGAGCTTGTTTTAATCCATATAGAGCCTTTTTTAACCTATACACTTTATGTTCATTGCCAAGTTTCACAAAACCAGGAGGTTGATCAATGAATACCTCTTCTTTCAAATCTCCATGGAGGAATGCTGATTTCACGTCCAATTGGAAAATAGGCCATGAGTTTTGAGCTGCCAATGCAATTACCAATCTGATTGTGTCATGCCTTGCAACCGGAGCAAAGACTTCTTTGTAATCAACACCAAACTCTTGCTTGTAGCCCTTAGCCACCAAGCGGGCTTTGTACTTGTCAACTTCACCATTCTCCTTCAGCTTTGTCTTGTAAACCCACTTTACATCAATTGTTTTGTGCCCTTCTGGAAGATCAGATAACTCCCATGTATCATTTTTCCTTATGGCTGCAATTTCTTCATCCATAGCCTTCCGCCATTTTGATTCTTTGACAGCATTTTCGAAAACTGTAGGATCACAGTCTGAAAATAGTGCAAAGTGAGTGAGTGCATCTTCAGATTGATCAATTCCGGTTACCTCATAGTCCGACATCCACGCCGGTCTTCTTCTGGCACGTTGAGGTCATTCCTCTTCTTCGATAGCTGCTAGAATTGGCTTCTGTTCATTCTCCACCAGCTGCTGCCTTCCATTTTCATTCTCTCCATCAAAAATAGCAGGAATCTGTTGTTGAACACCATCATTGTTCCATGGCCAAAACTTTTCTTCATCAAAAACAACATCTCGACTGATAATAATTTTCTTGGTGCTAGGATTGTATAGCTTATAAGCTTTTGATTGATCACTAACACCAAGAAAAATGCATTTTTCTCCCTTATCATCTAGCTTTCTCCTCTTCTCGTTTGGAATATGGGCATATGCAACACACCCAAAAAATCTGAAGTGACCCACCGCTGGTCTTCGTCCGCTCCATGCTTCCTCCGGTGTCATATTTTGAACAGCAAGAGTGGGACTTCTGTTCAAAATATGAATACTCCAATTTACTGCTTCAGGCCAAAAACTTTTTGGAACTCCACTTCTTAACAAAAGACTTCTCACCATATTCATAATAGTGCGATTTTTTCTCTCACAAATGCCATTTTGCTGGGGCGTATAAGCTGCAGTAAGTTGCCTCTTGATTCCATGGGTCTCACAGAAATTTGCAAATTCATGTGAGTTATATTCTCCACCGCGATCCGTGCGAAGAACTTTTATGAGCTGTCCAACCTCTTTCTCAACTAGAGCTTTGAAGCTTTTAAAGGCTGCAAAAGCTTTAGATTTTTCCTGCAACAAATAGACCCATATCTTCCTGCTATAATCATCAATGAACGTAATTATGTATCTTTTACCTCCATTGGAACATGGAGTTATTGGCCCACAAATGTCGGAATGAACAAGTTCCAATGCCTTCTTCGCTCTCCATGATTTCCCTTGTGCAAACTGATTACGGTGTTGTTTGCTAACAACACATTCTTCACAAACTTCAGAGGGAGCTGTGATTTGAGGAAGACCAATCACCATATCTTTCTGCTGTAGCGTCTTCAGTCCACCAAAGTTTAGGTGGCCATAGCAAAAATGCCATAGCCATGCTGCATCCCTTAATTTTGCTGAGAAGCATGAGTGAGTGGTGTTGTTGAGATACAATGGAAACATTCGGTTGGCTGTCATGTTTACTTGAGCCACCAAGCCCAATTTTTCATCTATAATTCTGCAGACTCCGTTTTTGATAGAGATTCCATATCCCTTTTCTTGAAGTTGACCAACACTAAGTAAATTTGTTCTCAAATCTGGAACAAAAAGGACATTAGAGATAGTTTGAATAGAATTTTTGTTGGTTTGAATTGCTACCTTTCCTTTTCCCATAACAGAGACTTTAGAATCATCACCAAACTTCACAACATCACGAAAGGCTTCGTCCAACTCAGAGAATGCAGACTTCTCTCCACACATATGGTTGCTGCAACCAGTGTCTAAGTACCACAGATTCTTGTGGGTTTCCTCCTTCACGTGACACACCATCAAAAGAGACACCTCTTCTTCCTTTTCTGCAAAGTTAGTTCTTTTTCCATTTTGTCTATTCAAATTAGTTTGACAATCCGACTGATAATGGCCATACCTATGACATCTGTAGCATTCAACATTGGACTTGTCTGCTGACTTTGGTCTAGTTGATTGATGGCCTCCATGTCCTCTTCCTCTTCCTTGAAATTGATTCTTTTGGTGATGGTTTTGTTGTTGATTTCCATAATCATTGTTGTCTCTGCCTCCTCTACCGCGACCTCTACCTCTTCCTCGTCCTCTATCAACTCTACTTGGTGTAGAGTGATTTTCAGATGAGACCTTCAATGCATGTTCCTCTTTCTCCTGTTGGTTAATTTTTTGCTCATGAACCAACAAAGAGCTTTGCAATTCATCAATTGAAAGTTCATCAACATCATTAGATTCTTCTATAGAACAGACAACAAAATTAAATTTTGGTGTCATGGATCGAAGAATCTTCTCAACAATGGTGACATCCTCTGCCTTGTCTCCATAGATCCGTATCTTGTTGACGATTGCCATCGTTCTTGCAAAATAATCTGTCACCGACTCTCCTACTTTCATTCGAAGCATTTCAAACTCCGAACGAAATGCTTGAAGCTGCTGCCTCTTCGCTCTTGTTGTCCCTCGATACTTTTTCTTCATGGAATCCCAAATATGCTTGGAGGTATCCTTGCAAAGAATTGTTTCCAAGATGGAGCGATCAATAGCTTGGAAAAGATAATTCTTTGCCTTGAGATCTTTGAGCTTCAGTGCTTCAAGCTCCGACTTCTGTGCATCTGTCAGCACAACACCTTCGGCTGGTTCTGGTATTCCAGAAACAACCACCGGCCAGTATTCTTTGGATCGCAAGAAGTTCTCAATTAGCATGCTCCAATGATCATAGTGACCATCAAAGCGAGGAATGGATGGTTGCACAAAATTTTCTGAAGCCATCGATCTTGTCTGCTACTGCAAAAGAAAAAAGGTGATAGAGAAATAGAACTGCTGCTATATCACTCTCTATCTCACTTTTTCACTCGGAGGCTCTGATACCACTGCTACAAAATGAAGAAGAGATATACTTTTACACACAATAAGAGCTAGAAAGAGTATATTAATCTGCTCAACTTTATTGATAAACCAAACAACCATTATATAGGCAAGTAAACAAACTGATAGTAGCAAGAAAACAGGAACTACTAAAGCATGAAATTAGGAACTGCAGTGACTGCATAGCAGGCTCAACTTACTCCTAAAACTAAGCCAAAGTAGGCCATGTACAGCAACTAACTAGGAACAGCAGTAAACAAACTTCCTAAAGACTAGGACAACTCCTTGATTTTTCTAACATCTATTGTCCACTCTATTGTCTATTACTTGCTACACACTCGATAGTTAAAAGTAAGTTAAAATGTGTTATATAAGAATTTGGTCCAATTAAATGTGTATTTATAGAAAACCAAATGATTATATATATATATATATATATATAAAATAAAAAAAAAAGTGCAGTGGAGATGCTTGAAAAAGTATGGTGAAAATGATCAAAATTATATTTCAGCATCCCTATGCTCTCTCTCTCTCTCTCTCTTCGAACTTGAGTAGTAGAAATACAAGGACAGATTGATTGCAATGTACGCAATATCGCCACAAATGCAAAACATGGAGGGGCGGATCTATAGTGGGACTGGGGGGTGCCATGGCCAACCCCAGGTTTTGGAAAATTACACTACTACCTCTATATTTATTGGTATTTGTAAAATGTACCATTGGATTGCCTCTTAATTTTTTGAAAATCATTTTACTAATTCTATATTTTCATTAATTTTTCACAATGTATAATGAATTGATTTCTGACTATTTCATATGCTACTTGGCATCAATAAGATTTACACAATTTTATTTATACAATAGGTGTATGGCACTTCTTTTTATTTTTATTTACTACATATTGTCAACTAATAAAATGGTTTCATTAATATTTCATGAATTTAGAAAAGATTTAAAAAGAAAAAAAAAAAAACTTGTTAGACTTATTTATTTATTTGTTATTGTAAAGTAATTTTTTCACAACCCTTATATAAGAAATTACTCTCTATTAGTAATGTAACAACAATTTATTTATTTTTTCACACAATCTATCTCCTTGGCCCCCTGGACATAATTTTAAGTTCTGCCACTGAAAACATGTACAAGTCGCAAAATATGTGAAATTTGGTAAAATGGGTTGATTTACATCTACTGAAAGGCAACAAGGGACCAAAAGAAGTTTAGGAAACTGAAGATCATCTAAACCAGAGTTCACAAGGTCAGCAGCTAAATCACTTTATAAGAATCAACATATCCTATCTTTATAATTTCTTCCATCACAGTATCAGCAAATCTTCAGATAAGTGATCTTAGACCTATTTGTTTTGGCAACTCTTCTAATCTATTCTTCAAACATATCAAAAGAGATGCTAATAACCAAACACAGCCATCACTCACATTACTCTGGAAGTGCATCAGCAATTTCAACCCAACTCACCACATAAAGTACACACTGTCATACATGAAGAACACCGCATTCACATACAAGATGAATAGCCAGCTTATGATATTAAGCAAGCAACATATGGATAAAACAATCATTGTAGACAATCAAAATCTTCCAGTGTAAGCCAAGTTAATCTAAATTGATTCTCTCTAATGGGACCTAATCAACCCATGCAATTGTAGACGTAAACACTCAACATATTGATACAACTTCGTGTTCTTCTGGGCATGTGCCAAAGCACAAAACCATACTTTTTTATGCCTAATAAACTAGAAATTGCCTAATTAGTAGAATACATCAAGGTTTATTGAACACATACAATAAACCGTCTTGATCACAAAGTCTAAAGTACTCAGAAAGTCCAAAGCCAGACAAACGCTTCAAGTTCTGTGATTTCGATCTTAGGTGTCAGAGCTGGCATTTGCATCACATATATTGCACACTGAAGTTCACTGAAGAAATTCATATGCAAACCAGAAGGTGTGGCGCTGATTGCAGGAGGCTTCTGTTGGTTGAGTTTTCAGAATTTATTATCTGAAAAATTATCAAAAGCTAATTTGGTTAAAAAAAACAAAAACTCATTAATTTCATATGGATTTCTCTTTTTTGGAAAAGAAATAATTTTTAAAAATTCAAAAATAACTTTGTTTTTTATTGTTCCCCTGCCCTATGCACCACTCCCTGAATACATCAAACACAGGTAAGGCAAAATTCTTTATTTGAATACAAATATCCAAGAATAATGAAAACAAAACAAAAGCATATGGCAAATCCTAAACAACCTAAACATTAACCTAAACAAAGGCAGACCACAAAGCTTTATAATTAACCAACACAATTACCTTGTACTGGATTAGCAAGAAAGGAAATATATATATATATATTTCAGGGATCAGCCTGAGTTTCCCCCAGCTTGTAAAGTAATTGTGGCTGATGGTTTCATACGCCATGCTATCCCTTGCCTTTGCGCAATATAAGGCTTTCTCACTGACCCAAAACAGAACCAATGTTTAAAAAGTTTTATTATAGAAAGAAATACAAATACAACTACTTTTTGAGAATAGGAATCAATAAGTGATGAAAGAAATGAAAATAGGAAAAAAAAAATTAATAACACCTCCGAACAATCTTGGGAATTTCCATTTTTAACTAAGATAAATGATACAACTGAACATGTGTTACAGATAAACGCAAATTGATATGGTTAACGAAAACAGAAGAAAGAGGAAGAAATGACCAGCTGCAAAGGTTGGAAACAGTGAAGGAAAAAGAAAAAAGAAGGGGGCAGCAGAGAATCACCATGAGAAGAGAGAGATGTAATAAGGGTGCGTTTGATGATTTCCTTCAGTGCCTTGTAACTGAAATGTGTTGTGCACGGCATACAACTCTAGTCTGAGTTGTTGATACATTGCCTACAAGCATACCACAAGGGCTTAAGAAATGCTATGTATACAGTTTATTCTACTACATCTTCAGGATTCAAGCTAGACATTCTGAAATTTGAGTGCATTATTTATAAGCAAGCTCAATAGATTAAACTAGTTGCTGAAATGTTATGATATACTCGGCGGTACGATAAAAGGTAAAATTTCACTAACTGCAAATTGACATGTCAACTAGAAAATTAACTGAAGATCAAGAGCTTACTATTGAAATCATAGAGACTCCATAGAGTTCAAATAGATCCAAATTAAACCAGACCAAGTAGTGGTATGAACACGTCATGCTTGAGAGGATGCAGGGTATGTACATGTACACGAATAAATGAAAATAAATAACCAAGATAACAATAGGGCATGATGAGATTTGGTCTTATAGAATTCAAATATAAGGCCAAGTTCAGAAACAATTAACTCCATCCATAGACCAAATCTCACCACTTTTAGTCAGAAACACAAGTTTAATTTGAAGTGATTTGTCCTTTTCCAAGCTCGTTAAAACCCTAGAAAGTCACTCATTCTGGACAAACGAAATTGAAGCAAAACTAGTAGCTTTTAAGTCTAGAAGAAGAGGATAAAAATTTAAAAAAAAAAAAAAAACAATAATAAAAATAAATTTAGAATCAATTGTAAACAGTTACTAATCAGCTGCTGTTGTTGAAGAGAATGTCCCTGAAGTCATCGGCATCGAGGAGATCGCGAAATACATACAACAAATACATTCCTGCAAAAAGAAAGGCCATCTGTTCGATGATTGTACAAATTTCTCAAAGAAATTGGGACAAAAAAGTGTACGAAACCCTAACTCTCCGATTATTCTGCTGCAAATTTGTCAAAGCAAAAAGGTAGAAAAAAATTTGGACCATTTCTCGATTTGTGCGTGTCATCCTTGATGCAGGGGCCATGCTAATCTTCTCTGTATCGTTCCAATTTTATCGGATGTCCCCGAAGGGACAACGTATTCTCTTTTCTTCTTTCTTATAAACTCCATGTCTATAACGTCGAAGTTTCGATGTGGGACTGGGACGACATCAATCAGACTTGACTTTATGGTTGTGTCTGCTTCCATCTTCGTGAATTCCAACAGACACATCTCAGGCTCCATCGAATCGTAGCCATCACCTGTATGTATACTTTCTCTCTCTCTCTCTCTCTCTCTCCGTATGTATGTATATAGGTGTGGTGTTTATCTATTGATTCTTCATTGGCCGAATTGAATCTGCCCTCGAGAGATTAGAAGCATGTGAGGTTGCATGAGCAAGGATCCTCTAGAGTGATTTTTTCCTAAAGTTTCCTAAAGTGCTACAGTGTATGGTTGAGATTTACTGGCAAGTCACATCAATTTTTCTGATGTGACTTGCCAGTAAATCTCAACCACACAATATGACACTCTAGGAAACTTTAGGAAAATTTCACTCTAGAGGATCCTTGGTGAGGTTGCATAACGCGTAATGGAGAGTAATAATTGTGTGGTTATTGTGGGTTGGTTTGGCAAGGGCTCATTGGGTTTTTTTGGCTCAATGAGTCATAAAAGATAGAATAGGCTCATGAGCCACAACAGACAAAATAATCCATCTAACCCTATAATCATTATACTCTTCTCTTACAAAAAAATCAAAAAAGTCAAAAAGCCAAAAGTCCTTCCCAAACTAAGCTTTTGAGCCCAGGCTCATATAGTCAAAAAAGTCAAAAAGTCAAAAAGCCAACCCACTTTCCAAACGGAAGCTGTATAACGTGAATATTTACATATTACTGATTATTATATATATGAGTTTTGTATGTTTATTATATGATGTGAATATTCATATTGTAAACAGTCATTACTTGTTGTGAATTATTATATTGTAATGTGTTACAATTGGTGTTGTGACTATTACATTATAAATTAATATTAATATTCACATTTAGAAATAATCATACAAGCGCAAACAACATTAATGTGTTATTTTACCAACATACATTTGTAATGTAAAAGTTCACATCAACATTTATTCACCACAACTAACATTAAACCAATTGTTATATGTATACAAATATAAGCAACCACCAGCAATATAGATGTTCACAGCGTTTACATTTGATCGATATGAATGTTCACACCGTTGCTTCTTCATATCGGAGTAAGGTAGACGATTTAAGATTTGGAGAATGTGATTTTCTCCCTAAAATAAGGGAGAGATTTTCTCTCTAGAATGAGAGAAATTTTCTCTATAAAATGTGAGATTTATTATTATTATTTTTTATTGTGTATTGGTTTCAAAATGAAAACACACCCAAAAAGTTTAGAAGAGTGATTTGGTCATATTATCTTAAACATGACCTAATAGAATATTAAAAAAGAAAATTGAATAAATGGAATATAACATTTAGGAATAAAACTTTTTGGAAAAATGACCCTAAAATTAAAAGTAATCCTAACTATTTAATTTTCTTTTATATTGATTTGGAAAATAAAAATATGTAAAAATAGAAATTATATAAAAATTATTGACAAATTTAAATATAAATATGTTGTAATTGAATTATCATATAATGATTTTATATGATATATATACATATTAAATTATACGATTATAAAATAAACACTATAATTAAATTAAAATATCAACTATATAAAAGAAATTTAACAATGACAAACTAAGAAAGAATCACATAACAACATTTTAAACCAAAAAGAAAAAATAATGAAAACATCTCAATGATAGATATATCTTAGTGTGTGAAGTAATTAATCATCTATAATATGATATCAAAACGTAAAAGAACTTACTGTTCAACAATTGAAAAAGTACTCAAGTAATAAATCCAAACTTTAGAGGTTCATCGGGAGTATCATTGTTGTGCATGTGTTTTCCTCCTGTAAGTTGTGATTATATAAAATAATATAGAAAATAAAATATAATTTGATATATAGAATCACTATAAAATTTAAATGACATAATATATAATTGGTATTGGGTATAAAATAATGCACGAGAAAATAAGAGGGAAAAAAAAAAAAAAGACAATTTAGCATTAAAAACAATCCTAATATCCTTGAAAGAATTAAGAATAAAAACGTGAAATAAAAAATTGGTATTAGATTTGTGGATTATCTCAATTTACGTTGAACAATATATAAAAAAAATATTTGTCAAATAGAATCCATATAAAATAGGTAAAATTAGTAAAATTTAAATTAGGTTTGAGTTTGTGTAGAACTTTATATGTAATTAAAAAAATACATGCAGACGTGACTTTTTTAAAAAAAAAAAAAAATACTTATAATGTGTCACCTAAGTATGAGAAAAACACTATTTTTAATATATATATATATGATGTATCCTGAAACAAAATGATTATAATAGACATCAAAATACTCCCTCAATATTAATTCAAAGTTTTTTTTTTTTGTACGCATCTTTTAAAAATAAAAAATCTTAGTGCGCATCTTTTGATTGAAAAACATAAAAATCCTGTTTTTTCAATATTGTTAGCTTCCTCCGTTGTTTCTCATTTGCTCTATTGTCCACCCTATTTTCTATTGCTTGCTACACACTCTACTGGTTAATGCACTACAGCTTTCAGACTTTGGAAGTCTGCTCAAGCGTGGAATCATTTTTAGGTGGTTAAAGTATGGAACACAGACTCGAAAATGCTTGCTTTTGTTAGGTGCTAGAGCTGCATTTGCAGCCTTCTTCTTGCTACATCCATGGCAAAACAAAAGACCGCAGTTATAACAATTATGTCGCTTCTTTGTAAACCCAAAAGCCACATTGCATCCTCTACAAGTCGATTGATCAGTACTAGAGATAGATTTGTGTAAACAAATTGCAACTATAAAATTTTGTACTATAGAACCATTTTTTTATTATTATTATTGTAATATTTAGAACTCAAGTTTCAAATGAAACAATTAGGGTAAATTACACTTTGCATCCCTATACTTTGAACCAAATCTCACTTTGGCCCCTACACATAAAATCATAACAGTCAACCCCCTACACTTTTGATCAAATCTCATTTTGGTCCCTACACATGAAATTGTAACAGTTAACCCTCTACACTTCTAGCCAAATCCCACTTTGGTCCCTGCACATGAAATTATAACAGTTAACCTTCTGTACTTTTGATCAAATCTCACTTTAGTCCCTACACAAGTGTTAATGTCCTCTTTCTGTTACTCAATTATTTAAATGTTTAACAGAATCTAATTATGTGATAAGAATGTGACTACAACATGAGGGTAAGAAAGAAAAATCATCTACATTTTTCACAAGTACATACTTTATCTTAAAATTTACATTAAAATATGACTGTATTAGGCCAAAATAAAACACAGATTGTGAACAATTAAAAAGGTGAACTATCATTTTGCATAAATTGAAATCACGAAACTTTGTTTGTTACGGTAACACGGTCTTCTGTCTATTCATCTCACTTTCTCTTTGATTTCTTTGTCATATTTTTTTTTTTTATATTTCAAAAGCTCTACTTTATTGCCTTTTCGTCCCAATTTTTACCATATGAACATATATATATATATATATATATTGTATTATATAACTCTCATGTGCTTATCACGTAGGCCAAAGTGTATTGGTGAGAAACATGAATGATTTTCCTCTTTTACCCTCACTTCATAGTCACATTTTTGTCACATGACTGAATTTTTTTTAAAGATTTAAACATAAAGTAATAGAAGAGGAACATTGATACTTGTGTAGGGATCAAAGTAGGATTTGATTAAATTTGTAGGGAGTTGACTGTCACGATTTCATGTGTAGGGATCAAAGTGAGATTTGACCAGAAATGTAGGGAGTTAACTGTCATGATTTAATGTGTAGGGGCCAAAGTGAGATTTGGTACGAAGTGTAGGATGCAAAGTTTAATTTACCCAAACAATTAAATTCGGAAATCAAGTTCCTTCAAAAGCGAAATATTACTTTTATATTTGGAAAACCAATGCCGAATTAGCAAAATCAACAATCTTCTAAGAAAAAAGAAAGTTTATGAAAAATAAGAGATATTGTAAGTCTTCAATGGAGTTGTCAATGGAGGGTTTTCAATGAGGTTGTTAATAGAGGGTCTTCACTATGTCTTTAATGAGGGTGGAATCGAAAATGGGTGTGTGAAAAATGGGTCTGAAATTTTGAACAAAAATATGAAATGAGGGTTTAGGTGGTGTATGTATAAGGATAAGAGTTGGGGTTATAATTAGAACATCTGGTGTGTGAATTGAAAACAATAACATATAACCAAACTAATAAGTGTATGTACTATAAAATGATGTGCACAAAGATAAATAGGTATGTGGAAATAGAATTTCCCCCAACATAGGCCTTCCCTTTATATAATATAATATATATATATATATATAGGAGATGTTACAATGTGCACACTCAAAAAAGTGCATATAGTATGCCTTTCATAACCTTTTCACAAAAATTTCATAACTTAAACCTAAAATGTCATAACTTTTTCATTACAAAAGTCATAACTTTTTTTCACTAAAAATGTCATAACAAAATCTCATCATAACAAAAATCACAAAATGTCATAACATTATTATTCCTAACTTTAGGGTGCACATCATAAATTCCATATTTATAATTTTATTACAAAATGTCATAATACACATCACAAACAATCATAACGTTCATTATAAAAAATCATAACTTTTTTACAATGTACATCATTTGAAAGGGTGCACATTGTAAATTTCTCCTATATCTATATATATATATATATATATTAACTTAATTTTTATTTGAGTGGATAATCTTTAATGGAGAATTCTATTATACACACCCCTTATCATATGTATCATTAGTTACGTTATTTTGTTATTTAGTTATGATCAATTTTCTTTTTTAGTTATGACATTATTTTGAGATTTTTGGTTATGCCTCATTTGTGTTTGGTTATGATTTCTTTTTTTTTTTTTATAATAATTATAACTTAAAAAATATATAATTATATCATTTTCTTCTCTAATTATAAAGCAAATGTGATGCATACTCTTTGTTACTTTAATGTTATTCACTGAGTTTTAGCTCACTGTCTTTCCTAATCTTAATATTATGATAAATGTGCAATCGATCAATTTGTTTTTCACTAAGGTTCCGTTTGTTTTAATGTAAAATATTTTACTCATTTTTTGTTGTTTGGTTGAACAAAAAGAAAGTAAAGCATTGTTTAAGGAAAATATTTTCGCATCATTTTCTAAAAAATGATTTACCTTTAAAAATTTCATTAGT